AACCAGGAACGGGGAAACAATGATTACAGAGCTAGATACTGTGAAAAGATCTTTATAAGGGTATTTTTAGTAAGTACATTTCATACATGTACATGATTTAATGGTAGGGGTGACGTAGATCATTTGGGATCTTTGCTAAGAATTTTTTTTTCTAAATATAGATTTATTAATTTTCCTAATTAAATTCTTGAGTAACAATGGCTCGAAGGGTGATTTTCCTAGCAAAGATCCCATTTGTCATATGACTTTCCTAGCAAATAAAATTAGTTATATAAAAAAAAACATATTACTGATAAAACTTTTTAGTATTATATTCAATTGTTACCAAAATTTACTAGTATATAAATCTAAAACTTCTAATTATTTTATAATTTATTTTGTTTTAAAAAAAATTATTTTATATATTACTAAGTTTTCCTGGGTCAGCTTATGAGTTTCCTAGGTCACACAAGATTTATATAGAAAATTTATGTAACATAAGCAAAATTTTAAGAAAAGTCTACGGACACGTACGAGTCACGTGAAATCTCACGTACCCTAAACTAAGATTGGTGATTGGTACGTGTCCATAACATTTAGTTAGGTTAGGGTCATGTGTCTGGTACGTGTCCGTAGACTTTCCGAAATTTTATATGTAAATCATATGATATCATATGATTTGCTATATATTGAAAATGATCTACGTCCCTCCTACCCTTAAACATTGTAATTCTTTGATAGTCTATTATAAAAAAGGAATATTGTATAGTTGCCTGTGAATTAGTTTTAGGAAAAAAAGCAATTACGGCCGTAATGACTTTTATAGTTTATTTTATAGATATTAAGCTACTAAAGATCGATATTATTTGTTATATCGACAGTTAGTCTGTATTACGCAAGTGGGAAAAATAGTCAACGCATAACAATATATGATCAACAGTGTCATGCGGACCAATTAAATGCCCAGAATCGCACAGATACATTTGAAATGCCTGTAAACCATACACTACGTTGTACGGTGTACAAGCTCCGTTCCTGGTACACATTTTTTTATAAAAATCAGACACACAATTATGGATGATTGAAATCTTAAGATTGGTCGATATTATTTTCTTTCAAAATGAATAGAACTCATAACTGCAATCCTAACACTCATAGTAATGGCCCGTTTAACTCCGTTGATGATAATTTTTTTTCATTTATTTCTTTATTTGGAGGTGCGATTTTCTCTACCCTTCAGAATCGACCAAACCCCGCTAAACCTTTAATCACAAACATCTATTTAAATCATTCATTAGATTTTATGCATAGCGCTTATGCGATGATAATTATTTCATTTTCGATTCATCAAGATTTGAGCGGTTATTATAATATTAATTCACTAATTTTTCAAATAATAATTGTTATAGCATGTATTATCTCAATTTTCTTCTCCATTATTAATATCATACGCAACCGAAACTTAAGTTGTCTTTCTTACAAAAACGTGTTATATATCAACTTTTTTTTGAATTATATCGTGATTCAATGTATTTTTACAGGATACGTACATTATCAAAATTTCATCGAATCGAATATACCGTTAGAATACAAAGTTACTTTGTGGACCTTTACGATCTTATATATAATTTCGTTGATGGGCTTATGCTTTTTTCAACTAATACGAAAAATTATGGACAATAATAACCAAGAAATGGAGGAAGAGGAAACGGCAATACAGGAAGTAGATGAAAAAAGTATGCAAGTGAACGCAAAATGTACCAAAATTTGCTACGCACAACAATTTTGTTTTCGGATGATATTTTTAATATCAATATGTAGTTTTATCGCATTTGGTTCCTATCTAGCCAGTTCAGAGATTCCAAGCACTATACATAGTATCTTTATAGCTTTTTTGAGCGGTTTAGTTGGTAGTATACTCTTGAAACGGGTTTTTTTAACAAACACCCGAACTGATAGAACGTCTTCTATTGATTATATTTTATCTTCTCAAGAAGTAAAGGAAAGAATTATTGAAATGTTTGCTTTTGAAGCACACGATTATAGTTACGAATTCATTTTGAA